GTGGTTCGAGGACGAACCAGGCGGAAGCTGGTGGACATCTAACATCCTGAACGTTGATGAGGGCGAGGAGTGATCGCCGGTACAAAGAGGAACAAACAAGGAGCGGCTCCTGACAGGCTTTCAGCGGGGGGTTACATGCATGAATGAATCGAATCGACACCCGAAAGAGAAGGATTCAAAAGATTGTGCAAGTGTGAGACTGCACAATTTGGGAGAGCTTATAAGAATTAATTGGTACTACCTATACTGACAAGATGCATCTTCTTTTCGGTAGCCCAGAACGGAAGAACTCCACAGTTAAGCGTGCTTGACTTGGAGCAATTCTGGGATGGGTGACCTCCTCGGAAGTTTTCTCAGGAAGTGTGCGAGTAAGGAAAAAGCACACTGAAAAGTCTCGTGTTAGTATGTGGGGATAGTCATTGATTCTTGAAGCGGCATGGCGTTAATGTGCCCCAACACGGGGTGAGATCTCTAAAAAAAATCTCAGTAAGACAAAGGGTCCTCAAGGATCTCTCCACCCCAAGCTCACTTACATGTGCAATATAAGTTCTAAAGCAGAATAATAGTATAATTTCATAATCTGTGCAGTGCAACATATATTCATGTCATGTGTGTAAGCATCCTACTGGCCAGAGAATAAAAGTAGGGTTTACATACGTCTACAACCTACAGTACAAGGCTCCTTGCCTGTACCTAACCCACGGAGTTACCATCTTGTATGTCTCCACATACTCAGGGGTTACCGTCTAGGTGGAACATCACATACATATCATATGGCATTTGCACTCATAAAACAACTCAATAGTATATCAATAATCATCACATATTTTCATACCAAAACACAGTATGTATAATAAACCATACCTCCTTGAGGTATGGTGGAACCAACAATGGAAAAAACCGAGGACATGAAAGCTTACCTGTAGTGCCAAAATTCCTATCCTAAGGCTCAGTAAACACAGACAACCCAACAGTCTCACAACACGTCAATTGCAATATGTTCGTATGAATACACAATTTAATATTCAGAAATCTCAATATCATAACCATTAAACAATGTCTTCTATTTCGTTTGCATCCTTTTAATTCATAATTATCACGTAATAAGCCCCACTATTAAAGGTATTAATGTTTCTCAACAGTAATATTGACTTCCTAGGGCATCATGCACCAATGGGAACTTTCCCACGCATTAAAATTGGTTTCTGGTCATTCTGATAGGGGGTAACCGATTACGATATAGTGAGTAATCGATTACTCCACATGGTAACCGATTACCAAAAATAGGGTAACCGATTACTCAACATGGTAACTGATTACTAAAAATAGGGTAATCGATTACTTCACATGGTAACCGATTACCACAGGAAAGTTAATCGATTACCACGCGGACATAACAGAATTCTGTAGAATTTTTCTACATAATCCGCGACCCCAAAAGTTCCCCAAGGTCCAAGGTTCGATTTCTTCTCAAAACAGCAGTTCATTATTACTTATTATGCCTAGATTAACAACCCTTAACTTGAATGATCAAAGTTCCCTCTTTTAATGACTTATACAAGCTAAAATCATGAAATTTCAAAGGAAGTGATCAAGGTTTACCTATGGACCCTTGAACTCAGAAAAAAAGAGGTGGCTTGGTGGTTTCTACATCACTCTAAAATGCTGCACAAGTGAGGCCACGAAAATGATCCATAAGTTTGGTTCTTTCCACCAAAAGATGGCTTCTTGAAGTCACAAATGCCAAATAAATGGCTCCCACAACACTCACTAAGAAGTCAACACCCAACTCACACCCAAACATAAGCTAAAACTCATAAACGACTTGCTTTTCAACCTCCCAATGCTTGAGCACACTCACACATGGAGTTTTTGTGAAGGAATCAAGAGGAAAGGTGGCCTCTTGAAGGTTTCTATGGAGAGGGAAGAAGGGTGGCAAGGTGGCTGCACAAAGCTTCAGAAATATCACGTAGAGATGAGGGAAAATTGACCTAGGTTATTGTGCCATTAATATTTATAGTCCTAAGTTTAACCCATCAGTATTAGCATTAATAGCTCCACTAATCATTTTAATCTCAAACTTCATATTCTGAACCTAGCCATTTTTCTAAGATTTTTCATATTTTTATTATAATTTTACACAACACTTTGTCGGTACGCATTTACATGTCGCCGGTATTAGTTCTGGGATCAATACTCATAATTAGGACTCCAAACTTGGTTTACTTAACTTAAGTATTTTTCTAGGAATATTCATATGTACTTATTATAATTTTTCGGGATACTTCATCAGTACGCACTTATAGTGTGAAACAGAACCAGTATCTGCACTTTTCGTCAGAAAAGCGACTTTCAGCGTTATTAAGCCCTTATAATAATTACTTAATTCTTCCCATATTTATTCAACGTCAATTATGAAATTATTTCTTAAACTCATAATTAAATTATTAAAATTCCTAATTTAGCGGTGCGAGTTCTTACACCTATTTAAGCCAAAGTCTAGCCTAACTTAGTCTATTTATAGCTACTCTTATCATATTCATTCCTATCATATTTTGTCTACCAAATGAGCCCTAAATAACAATATTAGATAATCCAAAAAAAAGAAGATAAACATGTAATAAAACTTTTAGATAACAAGAGATTCAAACTGTTCAAGATAAATACAAGCATAACAAATATTCGATAACTTCAGTAACAAGAGATAACTCTAAGATCTAGCACAACCAAAAAGAATAACAATTTTTTTTTTATGACTTAGACAAAAACACTTGACTTGAAAACCTATGACAAGCAACGATCAACAAATATATAAACAGGGGATTCAAATATACGAGACTAACAAGAATCATAGATATTTCCCAACTTAAGTTTGACAATGAAATAAGATCTAGAGCTTGTTTTACATTTTTAAGTTAAAAATTACTTTTAAGCTAAAGTTTCAAAAAAATAATCTTAAAAAAAAATTAAAAGTTATTTTGTAATTATATAGAGCTATTTTCAGGGTTTTGAAGGAGGGAAGATGAAATTATTTGACATTAGAAGAAGGAATATGACATTATGCTTACATTTTTTCATATCTACTCGTCGCCACAGAAAGAGTGAAGCTGAGTAGATTTTTTGATCTAACAGTATTGAAAATGAATAGATAAAATAGGCATGAAAAAAAGATAGTCATAATAATTTATTTGAAAGAATAAACTATTAGGATAAATAAAAAATTAGCATATATTTTTTAAAAAAACTCCCATGGGGAGCATTTAGCTTTTACTTTTTATTTATTATAATTTTTTTATAATAAGAGCTCTTGTAAAATTATATTTTTACTAAATTGAAAATCTAGAAATAAAATCTCCAAATAGATACTTTATTTTATTTCTTGGTAAGTAGGGATTTTTTTTTAAGCTTGAAAATGAAAGTGGAGAGCGTACCCAAGTTGACGCAGATTTGGTGGCAAAAAAGGAGTGAAAATAGGAGATATAATATAAAGGGTTGCTTCTCTCCTTATGCATGTTCACATAAAGTATTGATAATAAGCCAAGTTTCTGACATTCTTGAGGGACAAGAAAAACAAATGCTAGTAATTAAGTTCTCGCATGTTCTCCATACGTGGAGCTAATGCTTGCATTAATTTGCTAGCCAATTAAAATATCAACCAACATTATGGATACGTAGAATAAATTATGCGTCCCTCAGAGATATCAGGAGCTTCCATACCCCGATATCTTAGGCAAGAAAAGCTATTCAGATTTTAATTTAAAATAATAGTACACTAACGGATAATACCGAATCTCACTTAATTAAGAAAAAGTATTATTAAAGTTCAAATGTATGTTTTTAAATCGTATAACTAATATTATTTATTTAATTTATTATCGTAATTTTTTTTTTTTTTGATAACATTTTATTATCGTAATTTTGAGACCACTACTATAAACAATTTTAACCCCATTTATTGAAGTATAATAATACTTCACAAGAAAGGCTTCATTAGAAGTTTCTTCATTTATTTTTTCAAAAAGATTAACAGCAATCATTCAATGTGTTTTTTTTTTGGTAAGGATTCAATGTGTTTTTTTCTTTAAACTTTTTTTATCATTTAGCATGAGGATCACCTGAATTGATTGTTCCTTTGCTTATCTCATAGCATCTAGTATTGAATGAATTTATTAAGAAAAAAAATCCAACGGTTTAATTATTCCCTTATCCCTAATAATTTAAAAATATCTTATCTTTTTAGGGTAATAGATAATAACCCTATTTGAAAGCAACTGTAGCCCTAGTTTTCAGTCAATCAATACTTTCCTGTTTTGATTCAGTCATACACTCACACCTGTATACACACACAAATAATATGTACTTCTCTCCTTATGGATCTTCATCATTTCTTTGGCAATGTGATGTGAAGAGAGACAAAGAAAGATAGAGACTTGTCTTTCATGTGAGAGAAAGTTGTGAAAATTTGAGAAAGTACCTGGTCATCTCCACCCTTTCTATTATATCTCCTATTTTCACTCCTTTTTTGCCATCAAATCTGCTTCAACTTAGGTACCTTTTCCACTCTCATTTTCAAGCTCAAAAAATAAAATAAAAAATCTTTACATACCAAAATAAAATAAAATAAAAATAATAATCCTTTTTTTTTTTTTTTTTATCTTTTTCTCTTAGCTCTAAAATGTTTAAAGAGTTATAATAATTATAACCCTTTCTATTATATCTCCTATTTTCACTCCTTTTTTGCCATCAAATCTGCTTCAACTTAGGTATCTTTTCCACTTTCATTTTCAAATTACAAAATAATAATAATCCCTACTTACCAAAATAATTAAAATTTAAAAAATAATTTTTTTTTCTCTTAGCTCAAAAATGTTTAAAGAGTTATAATAATTATAACCCTTTCTCATTGTGCTAGTGTAATTAAGCTCAAAGTACTCATCAACTTTCCTCTCTCTCTTTCTCTCTCTCTCTCTAGAACTCAACCTCTCCTCTCTGCATGTGGATCCACACTTGGATCTTTCCTTTCCATTTCCACTAATATAATATATTCAATTTCAGGATTATTTTATCAAATCATTTTCTGGGGTTTTCTTCTCTTCTTTGGTTGCAATTTCTGATTTCTTGTTTTCGTTTTTCAGATTCCTGGTTTTGAGTTTTTCAAATAACTGGGCAAAGTTTTTCTTTTCTTTGTTTTGGGGGGTTAATGGGTGTGACTGTGTTCCGTGTTGTGTCAGTATGAAATTCTGAAATGTAATTCTATGTGTTGGGGGTGGCTGTGATGTGATTCCAGATCTTCTTGTTGCCTTCTCTGAACGATTCATGGTTTTTCAGCTTAGATTGATCTATCAATTCAGTGAAAATCGGTCCTAAAATGAAGGGTTCTTGATTTTCTTGACCTCAATCTCTTAGTTCCAAAGATCAGTGTTAATGAATTTTGGCAGATTGTAGATACTGGGAGTTCGTTTGGAGCTGGAAATCATTTTATTCAGGTGAATCTCCATGAATGTCGTAAAGCATGTTATTGTTTTTTGTTGTTCAATTTTATTTATTTATTTGATTGATAAAAATTTCTGTTACCCATTCTTGACTCAAAAATGGTGAACAATTGAAAGAAGTGACAGAGAACGTGTTTTTTTTTTTTTTTTTTTTTGTCTTAAAAGTTTATTGCTAATGTGGACTTAAATGTTACAAGATTGACAAATATATAATTGCAACCTCTGTTTTCCATATTTGTCCCACCTACTCAGATGGTTATAGTGTGTAATATTAATGTTATTCATCTTTGCCTGCTTCAGGCAATAAGGATTTTCACTATGGCTTTTGGGGACAGATTTTATTTCATTTTTTCATTTTTTCTTTTTCTTTTGAGGTCCGTGACCATGACATCCTTGCTATAACATGGATGAAGCTTTTTGTGTTTAGAATATTTTGACTTGCTTGCTACTTTTGGTGCCGAAGAATTTTATTTTCCTTTGATTTTTAATTTTGGATATGATTATCCTTATTATTTTTCTTCTTCGTCTAATTCCTTAAATTAATAGACACTGTTGAAGTAATGGGTTCCCTTGATTTTGATTCTTGAATTGGCTGATCAGTATGTAGGTTTGGATTTCAGAACTTCACAAGTTTTTGTTTTAAACAAAATTATTGTATGTGCATAGATAAAAACATAAAATCTGAATTGTTGGATGTACCATGCTGTGAAATTCTGTAGCATGCTGATGAGCATTATTTTTATTTTTAGTGATTCTAGGTTGTAGCTTCTCCTCTTCTATATTGTCTTAAATTATGCATTAAACTTTTTAAATTTATCTACTTTTGTAGGCACATTGAGAGCTATGAATAGCATGACAAGTGGGGGTGATGCTCGGAAAATGTCCAAGGGTCGCCGGTCATCTTTCTTGGTTGAAGAAGCTGGTGGTGGAGGTAACTTGGGAGGTGAAGTTTCTTTAAAGAAAGGCCCATGGACATCAGCAGAGGATGCAATTTTGGTAGAATATGTCAAAAAGAACGGAGAGGGAAATTGGAATGCGGTCCAAAAGCATTCGGGACTTGCCCGATGTGGTAAAAGTTGCCGTCTACGATGGGCAAATCATTTGAGACCAGATCTGAAAAAGGGTGCATTTACTGCAGAGGAAGAAAGCAAAATCCTTGAGCTCCATGCTAAGATGGGAAACAAATGGGCTCGAATGGCTGCAGAGGTTTGTAGTAATGTAACTTCTTTTGATGTTTTGTCATTGTATATTACGCTAATGCTTAGCTAGATTGTATAAAAAGCTTATTAACATAGTGGTTTGCATTTTTTGTCTTCATTTTTATGACATGGAGAGGACATAGACACTAAAGATGAATTTCTGGTATGGAAAAGACTATTAATAGAATATAATATAATATTTTTTTTCCGATATAAATATATCCACAAATAATGGAGGCTCTTGAGACGTTATTCTCTGGATTTTGGATGTGATTGGAATAAGTCTAAGCTTGTTGCCATCATGATGCATCATTCAAGCATGGTGCCCCCTCCCCAGATCTTTTTTGACTCATTCTTCTTGATGCTTGCAAATCTATACTTTGCCTCTTGCACAATGGAATTTTCTTTCTGTGATTTGATCCTATTGGATTGTGTAGGCATTGTATTTGTTGTGCATTAGTGATAATATTATTGCAATCTCTTAACATTCCATAGCTTTTGTCATTATTTGGCTGTATTATTTAACTTTAAGGTCTTCTGTGATCTCATTTTAATGGTGAATTTCTTAATATTACTACATGTCTCCACTTTTTGATTCATTCTCATTGATGGAGATTTGTTTTCTGATTTTTCTTATCAAGAAGGTTATATGAATATTCTGTTGATTATAGTACTGTAATGATAAATTACTTATCTGTTAGTATGAATATGTCATTGTTTGAATGGGTTGAAGAGCCTATTGAGGTGTTTCTTCCTCTGAACTCCGAAGCCTAATAAAAGCTTTTACTAGTTGTTCACTTATGGAAGTTTTTAAAGAATTAGAAAACATGTTTGGCACAAACATTTTCTAATTTTGAGAAAAGGAGATTATATTCTATTGATTATATTGTTGTGAGGAATATATTATTAAAGTGATTATATTTCAAAAAGAATATGCCATCGATTATTTAACTGGTAAGAATAAATAAGTTATCTGTTACCAAAAGTAGGTCATTCTTTGAATGGGTTGAAGAGCATATTGAGGTGCTTCCTCCTCTTAACTCCAACCGCTAAATGCCAAATAAAAGCTTTAACATGGTGTTCCGTTATGCAAGTTTTTAAAGAGTTAGAAAGCATAAAGAAAGCATGTGTTCTACAAACATTTTCTACTTACTGAGAAAAGGGGATTGTTGGATTGGCTTGTTTGTAAAAATATGTTCTGCTGTTATTTTTTCTAAAAAAGGAAAATGTCATTTTCAATCAGAAAATCATGGCCCATTGCCCGTGTTTTATCTGGAATTTCTTAATTTGAACCTTCCTGAAGTCCACGATCAAATCATCACCAGATTCTTTCTCCATTATGAAAGAAAATGGATGGATGCTATGAGACCTACCCAGTATCTTGGAAACTGATTTCTTAATTTGAACCTTCCTGAAGTCCACGATCAAATCATCACCAGATTCTTTCTCCATTATGAAAGAAAATGGATGGATGCTATGAGACCTACCCAGTATCTTGAAAATGTCATTTTCAATCAAAAAATCATGGCCCATTGCCCGTGTTTTATCTGCAATTTCTTAATTTGAACCTTCCTGAAGTCCACGATCAAATCATCACCAGATTCTTTCTCCATTATGAAAGAAAATGGATGGATGCTATGAGACCTACCCAGTATCTTGGAAACTGATTTCTTCAACCTCTATTTTTGTCGTTTTTGCTTATATTTCCTTGCTATAGGTTTTTCAAACCGTTTTTAATTTTAAGGGAGCTGGGGGAGGGGGAGGGGGGTTTTAAAACTGTGTGTGCGCACATTAAACTGCAAAAGTTAAGATAATATATTTTAAAATATTGTCTTACTATTCTTTGAGTGTAGCTTAAAATTTTGAGTTCTATTGTTATGTGAAGAAATTATGTTGATTCAAAATATACAATATCCTAATAACATTTTTAACGTGAGGTCATATATTTTGCTTTTGGTTTCACATTTATAACCTGATATCAGTCTTGTACTTCTTTTTTGTTTCATGTAAATAGAAAATTAATGTATAAGCTAAACTAGTACACCGAGTTTTAGCAATTATTATTATTAATTTTTTCCATTTCAGTTTCTAACAAGTGAGCATTTTTTGTTTTGTGAAAATCTTCGTTAGAAAGCAGAAAATGAGGATAGAAAACAGAAAGCTGAAAAGAGGGAACATTTTTTCATTTATTTCTTTGCCTAGTAAGAACACATTTTTTCATTCAAAATGTATTCTTAGGTTTCCCTCCACTTCCTTTGTCTCTTCAAAATGAGCCCCTCACCCCAAAAGGAAAAGAATGGAAATGCAGCAAAAAAATAAGTTGGGATCTTTCCAGCATAAATTTTGAATTAAATAAATCTTCTTTTTGTATTTAAATTTAATTATCAAGTAATACATTGACTATTTCTTCTCAATAAATATAGAATAAATATATCTGTTATTGCACAAGCTACAGCAATTAAATTATGAATATAGTAAAAAAAAAATGGAAATTAATCTTTGAAGTGGCCACAAAAAATTAAATTAATTTTTGCAAATATGTTTTTAGTTATTAGCTAAACCCTATGCACTTAAGTATGCTCCTATGACTATCAATAGGGCCATTGTGCAACTATAGCAATATATTTAATTTATTGGGGAGCTGTGAATGGAGTATATAATATACAACATGAAGTATAAACAAGTTATGATGAATTAAATTTTATCTGCATATAGATAGCTTGGAGTGAATTCTTTTTTTCTTTTTTTCCTTTTTTTGTGTATTATGAGATGTAAACATTACCCTTCTTTACTCTGTGTCATTGTATGATCCATATTTTCTGACATAATTTGTAAATTTTGTTCCAAATCATACTTTTTTCTTATCACAATATTATCTATCTTTGTGAAGGTCAAAATTTTGGTAGGATATCATTAGAGTCTGATGCCGCTGTGAATATTTGCATAAATTGAATGGGGAAATGTGGAAGAGGAAAGTAGAGTAAAGGAAAATATGTAGTTTTAGAACTGAAAGTGCAATAAAAACTGTTTGTGAATAATGTGTTATGAGAAAGGGCTTTAAGGTTATATTAATGCTAAATGTAAACCATCTTTATCTGTCTGAGAAAGAATAAAAATAGACTTAACCGTAAAGGAAGAATAAAAATAGAAAAAATTGTCTACTGAAGCTCAGACCTGATAAATTTTGCTAGTGGCAAGTATGACCAAAGCCAGGGTGAGACTCTTTTCTCACATTCGTGAATGCAGACACAGTGCAGTGTAAGAGAGGGGGTGTGGGGGGAAGATACAGACAGGGAATTGAATATTAAGCTGCAAAGTACCAACTGCAGAATGACTTTATACCCTTCCCTACAACATTCTTTCTTATGCAGATTTACTTCCGTGTTATCTGTTTAATTGAACCCAATGTTCTTTTGGCATTTCTCTTTTTGGGGTATTTGCTTTTGTGCTCATTTCATTTTTCTGTTTCAGTTGCCTGGACGTACAGATAATGAGATAAAGAACTATTGGAACACAAGAATTAAGAGAATGCAACGAGCTGGCTTACCAATCTACCCTGAGGAAATATGCCGACGGGTTCTTAGTGGCAATCAAGAAAGTCTAAACATCGGCACCTTGACAAATGAAGCCAGCCAGCATGATGATCTCTCACAAACAGATAATTTTGCTATACCAGATGTGGAATTTAAAAATTTCAAACTACGTCCAGGTCTATCATATGGACCATCAATTTTTGACATACCTGAAAGCAGCATGCTTGAACAAAGTTCGGACTCATCCCATAATTATAATATCTTGTTCCCAATGATGCATCCGTCAAAGCGCCTTCGGGAGTCAGATATGCTATACAATAGTTTGGGCAGTTGTATCAGTAGTGCTGTCCCACTATTTGATCAGTATGGCAATTATACTTATGAGAAAATTCCTGACCATCCTACATTGACTTCTCCATGTGATCCTATTCTTAACACCAGTGATCACTTTCATGGTGATAACCTTACTGGCAGCCATGCCACTTTAAATGGCAATACCTCTTCTTCTACGCCCCTATCTGGGGCCATGAAGTTTGAGCTCCCTTCACTCCAATATTTCGAAACTCAACAAGGTAGCTGGGGCATGCCCGCGTCCCCGCTTCCTTCACTTGAGTCTGTTGATACATTGATTCAGTCTCCTCCAGTTGAGCCTATTCTGTCGGATCCAGTTTCTCCACAGAGCAGTGGTTTGCTGGAAGCAATAATCTACCAATCAAAGAGCTTGAAAGGCTCAAATACTGATTCATATCAAGAGACAACTAAAAATTGTGTGCCCAATGAAGCAGTCAAGAGTTCAACATCAAATCCCTGTAAGACAGAATGGGATGAACAAGGGGACCCGAATTCCCCCTTTGGTCAATCTGCTGCTTCGGTTCTGACTGACTATACTCCTATTAGCATGTGCTCAGTGGATGGCCCCCAATCAGTTGAAACCACTCAGGGTTAGCATATTATTCATACCATTTAGTTGTAAATATTGACTATGCCCTTATTTTAGGGAGTTTCATTAATAAAGTTTTTCTTCTTCTTATTTGGCAGATCAACATATTAAGCATGATGCAGTTACACAGTTCCCAGCATACGATTCAAGGAAGAAAGAAAATACAAATCAGATAGATTTTATGCGGCCTGATGCTTTACTCGACTTAGGTTGGTTTGGGAATGGCACTGAGTATGGCAATGATCAATCTATTCTAAAAGATGCTTTTGGTTCATTTCTTGGTGATGATTTCCATGGTTATAACTAGCAAGTAGGTGATCATGATATTGCTTTGGCCTTAGTATAGTGCTTGTTCATGAAACCACTTCATTTGTTTGCCAACTTTCTAAACACTAAGGTCAAGTTTTTTCTATTCTCAGTAACCTTTGGAACCTTCAGTTATGGTGGTGGGTGATAAGAGATTTTATGTCAGATATTTCAAGTTTATCAATGTTATGAAGGTTATGGTATGCACTCTATCTCATGTTGTCACTTTGCATGGTGTTGATATTGAAGAACTATGATGCACCGATACTCCGAATTTTTTTTCCCAACGTATCGGATACACGTATCGGAAACGTATTGTATCGTATCGACGAATTAACGATCGTATCGGGAACGTATTTGGAACGTATCGAAAACGCCGTGTCGGAGTCGGTGCTTCATAGTTGAAGAATGGTATTTGATAATGTTATAAGCACATCTGTTAAGAAGCGTGTGACTGTGTTCCTTATTAAATTGCCATTACCTTATGTTTGATATTTGATTTTCTTGATTTCTACTTGTATTAGCTTGTTTTTTATATTTTATTTCCTAGAAAAGTACCTTTGAAATATTATTTCGAGCCTGCATGTTATGGTTGATGTCTTCAGCTTCAGGACCATCTGTTTGGTCATGTTTGAAAACTATATTGTATATTTTATTTTCATTAGTGTATAATAATTATCAGCAGAGTGAAACTGAGTGCTGAATTGGTTCTAACACTCAAAATTCCAACGTTCTTTTCCAAAGTTATGATTAAGGTAAAAGATATAATTAAGACTAGGTTTCATCAATTTGTAGTCTGGGAGAAATAAATGAAAGTAGTGAAATGTCTTTGCCATCATAAATATTATAACATTTCTGTACTCATTATTTTTTCCATCCAATTTCTCCTCTTTATTTATTTTGCCTTAATGACTTAATATACTGAAACTGAAACACGCTTTGTGACGCTACTTCGCTGACGTTCGAGCTATACTTTACCGTCAGAGACATTCTTTGCTCCGCTTATTAATAAGAAACTGAAGAAAATAATTTCTCGGTTTCCAATTTTCAATCTGAGAAATGTGTGAGAAGGTCGAGGATATAAACCCAGGTTCTTGATTAATTAATGAACCATTTTGCTGAAATTTAGAGGAGTGGATATCAAAAGTCCCTTATTAATTGAGTAGCATCTTTTAGATGTCCCTTATTAATTGAGTAGCATCTTTTATATTTATATATATATATATATATATATATATATATATATATATATATATAAGAAACTATAACTAGCAAGTACAAAATACTTCTATATATATAAGGATAGATTACGTTTATAAATTTTTTTTTTTTATTTATAAACTCTTATAACACATTAATTATGTACTCTAGAAATACACTTGTAAGTGAATGTATTTTTCCGAAATATATAATTGAGTTTGTAAACAAAGAAATTATAAATGTTATTTTTTCCATATATATAAGAAATGGAAGATACCATTGTTGTAAAAAATTAGTGTAAAAACGTAAAAATTTACGTTTTTACGTTTTTACTAGAGTAGTGCGTGTTAAAACGCAAGTAAAAACGGTCCTTTGTAAAAATTGATAAAAACGCCGCGTAAAAATGTAAAAATGGTATAAACTTACGTTTTTAATGTTTTTACTTAAAACTAAAATTTTAATAAATTTTTTTTTTATAAAAAAACCTAATTTTTGATTTTTCCCAAATCATATTCGTAATATCTTAATATCTTTTTATTTGGATATATGTTTTTTTTATAATTATGTCTTATAAAGCTCCAATTCTATTATAAGTTATGCTATAAGAACCGTTTTGTGTTTTTGATTGTGTACATTGAAAGAAGTAAAATTATATCCTGATGAGCGATGATTCAAAATCTGCAGTGTATAGCAATTAGAGCATATTGGTTATCCATTACTTGTTAACTATCAGTGTTTATAATTTTGATACTTGGTTATCAAAAGTAATTTTCTTTTTAGATAGATAAATGACCCAACACGCATGTTCATTATGTGATATTATTTTACATACATGTATATAAATTTGTGTCTTGACTTTAAATAATATAAAGTAGAAACTTTATATTTCGTGTCGTTTCTACGTTTTACGTTTCTACCACCCATTATGTCAACGGAGCATCGAATCTATGAAATCAAAATTCACATCTTAGTTTAAGGGTAATATTACTCTCATGTAACATGAGAATAGTTATCTCATGTTACAGAGAGAATCCAAGTAGGGCCCGCTATTTAAAAGCAAAAAGAAAAAAGAAAAAAAAGAAGGGACACAATTTTCGAAGTGAGAGAAAAGGAGATAACTACCTCATGTAAAATGAGAGTAGTGTTTCCCAGTTTTAATATGGCAAATGTAGTTACAAGAAATTGTTTATTTTTTTCAGCGCTCATTTGCATAATTTTCTTGTAAATAAGTTCTCTTTCCCTTTATCGTCCAACGGAACCCTATATTAAATACTTCAAAGAGTTTCCTGCAAAGATTCAAATCCTAAATTTAACCTTTCAAAGTAAATAAACAATGAAACCACGAGAAAATCATATCAAAAAATGAAAACCATAAAAAAGGATCTAAATCTACTTAATCCGAGATGATGATTGTGAATGTTGCTTCGATTCTTTCTTAATCTTCTGCTGCTATGCAAGAACATATAACTCCCATGCTCAAGTCACTAAACGAAAGAGGTGAAGTAACGCATAAACCCCAAAGGATGACACTGTTGGTAAGCTGACTTCTCCCTTATCCTTAACGCGTAAGGGAGAAGATGCATACCCAGTGGCAAAGGTTCTATATTATTAACCGTTACATGGAGGTAAAGATATATGTGATGTGGATGCTTTATCCTTTAGTGAAGTGTAGAATAATGTAACAAGGGTCCACAACAAAATCCATCATTTAAATTTTCTTAAGAAACGCATGAGGTGATGCTGCATACACAAATTTTTCATTTCCAAAACCATAATCAAACGCAGAAGCCGTTTTTGTCTTTTCTTGGTTCTTAAGTAAAAGGAGGAATTCGAAATCATCGAGAAAATAAAAGCTTAATTGCATATAACTATTACATTGTCCAACAGAATAAGAACACCCTATATCTCTTAAGTTCAGATATAACTGTGCTAAAGAAAAAGTAGATAAATATATATATATATATATATATATATATATATATATATATATATATAATATTATGCTTTCTCTCCCCTCTTAATGTTTTGGTTTAATAATACTATTAAGAAATAGGTAAAATAGATATAATATCCTATTGCTATGTTTATATATTGCATGATTATTTTATGAGTAAAGATATTCTAACTATTAAAAATTTTCACTACTAACTTACTACCCATCACATTACCATTGGATCAAAGAGATAGAATGTTAAAAAGTTTTTTGAAGAAAGAGAAAATGTTAATCTAATAGTAATTAGATAGGTAGTCAGTTGATATAGTAAAAAATTTTGGTAGTTAAAATATCCCGCCATTTATTTTATTTAATCCTCAGGAGGCATCTCATTCAGATCAAAATCAAGCCTTTTGGGAGGATCTGAAGTTGACACCTCTTGATTCAGCGATCCACCGCTTTCACACTTTTTAGCATCTTCTGTGGAAGCTTTTGTACCAACTCTATCTTCCACGTCAGCAACTTCATCATCCTCCTTAACATCTGCTTCTTCTTCTTCACTTATTTCTCCTTCCTCTTTCTCATCATCTTCCATAACATCTACTTCTTCTGCAGTTATTTCTCCTTCCTCTTTCTCATCATCAACTTCAAAAAAAAAAAAAAAAACCAAAAGAAGTAAAATTTGCATTAACTTAGGTAGGATAACATTAATGGGCTATCTATAACTAAATTTAAAAAACTCCAAATTTTATCTGTGAATGAGAAATAATAAAGATGAAAGCTCGAAAACCGAACTTAACGATTAAATTTAAAAATTTGTGTAAGGTAAGACAAAGATTTGCACGAAACTCAGGGATGCGATTGCCCCTCTTAACCCGTTTCTGGCTTTTATCATTATTACCTGTTTTTTTTTCATCTTTCTCATTATCTTCCTTCACGTGACAAACAACAGCATGGAATGTGGGTAAGACCTCGTTGCAAGTGTTGCACATGTATTTCCTTCTTGTGCGAGAAATCTGGTGTGCACTAGTACCAGTGAAACCCAAAGTTCTCAACCTATTCATGACGGTGAAATCTTCAAAATCATTCTCATAATCATCAACATAATCATGATGATAATAAGAACTGTCACAAGAGGAACGAGATGGAAGTTCACGACGGTGGTTTCTTTTGGTTTTTCTTCCATCTCGGAAATGATGGTTATTGTTGACATGGCGCCCACCACTTCCAAAACCTTTTCCAGTGTTGAATTTTCGCCTACAGGAATGGCAAACTCTTTTTTTGTCTTTCTCTTCATTCTCCCATTCACGTAAAAGCCTTTTCTGAGTAGAACGCATTTTTGAAAACAACACCACTCAGAGGAAAATCTCAAGTGATGGATGTTCTTCAAAGGTTACCTGCATGCACTCTTTATAGATCAGATAGGAAAGGTAAGAGCGTTTCAATTTTTTATTTTATTATTTTTTAAGGATTATTTTAATTATTCTTTTGGAAAACAATTAATTTTATTATTTCCTTCACATCATCAATGTGGCTTCGGCATAGTGTGGTTAATTTTATGCAGGACGAGGTCGAAGTACAACTCCAAATTTTACGTTACATACCTATTAGTGGGAAAAAACTATACTGCTACCGTGGTACCTGTGACGGACCAATGAATATGTGACACGTCAGCAATATTTTGCACAAAAAAGAGAATAAAATAGAAATTTTATTATTTTACATTATATATTTATGAGAATACATAATATAAAATACCTCATCACACCTAATTTTCATATACCTCTGTCGTACTGAAAGTTTGCTCCTATTAGAGGGATGATTTTTTGATTTTCGTGTCAGATTAAGAAGACTAATTTCCTATTTCGGTCATTTCTCTTCATTTGATGATTAAAATTTATTAAGTTATATACATTAATTAATTATTAATTTTAAATAAATTATAATGCAAAAATCAAATACTGAGATGGGAGAAAGACTTCTCAATCAAAAGATCTCGCTTCTATTTATGATATAGTACGTGAGTGGCCCTCACATCATTTTTTATTTTATTTTTCACTTTAAATTTTTGTATGTGTATCAGAGTCAATGATAATTTTACTGTCTTAGGTTTACGTTAGGATGAACAGAGGGTTTAAAAAGTCAAGGAAAAA